GCTGCTGTAAAAAGGAAGGAACTCCTACCATTTACAACAGCGTGGATGGAGCTGGAGAGCATTATGCTAAGTGAAATAAGTCAGTCAGAGAAAGATAAATACCACATGCTCTTACTCATTTGTGGACTATAGTGAACAACATAAACCAATGAACAAAAACAGATCTAGAGACAGAGAAGCATCGATCAGATGCTCAAACCTCAGAGGGAAGGTAGGGGAGGGTGGGGGTAAGGGGGAGAGATCAACCAAAGGACTTGTATGCATGCATATAAGCATAAGGGATGGGTACAGACAATAGGGGGTGAGGGTGAGGGCAAGACTGGGGGGATGAGGCGACAATGGGAGGATAAAGACACATTTGTAATACCTTAATCAATAAAAAATTTTAAAAAAGGAGTTTAGGTGCCCCCATTGCCCTTATAAGCTGGTTGCAAATTATTTATTCTTTTACTTATTAAAAAATTTCAGTCTATCTGTGACATGTGTTCATTAAAAATACATATAAGCAAAAATAAAATGCACATCACACAGAAATAAGCACAGTTAAGTTTTTGATGTGTGTATGTATCCACACACGTACACACACACAAACTTTTACCCTACATATGTGAGTTGTTACTAAACATGCTGCTTTGTAACTTGCTATGTTTTACTTTACAATATGGAATAAACATTTTGTTATTATTATTATTATTACTATTTGCTGCAAAAAGCTTTATTGTTTCCATTTGGCCCAATACAAGGGAGAAGGCTCCAGGGTGGTTAAAAGAATGACTAGTGATTTCAGGAAGAGGCTCAGGCAAAAACCAGACACCAGGGAGATGCAGAGGGACCCCTCAAAGGCTCTGGGCTCTAAAGGCTCCTAGTTGTGCTTGAGGGTGAGCCTTTGAAGAGATGTTTACCCAGCCCAGCCTGTGGAGGTGAGTCAGGTGTCACCCATCTTCTTGATGAGTTTCACCTGCTCATCCAGGAAGTGTTTCTCCAGGAAGCTGCTGAGATGGGCGTCTGCGTGGGCAGAACACAGGGCATGCAGACCCACAGGGGCCTAGTTCAGGTTCTTCTCCATGACTATGGAGCTTCCATGGTGTCCTGGGTTTTACCCTACTCATCCTGGGAAGGCTTGGAAGAGAATGCGGCCACCGAGCTGGTTTTGCATCTTTAAGAGAAGCTGGGCTCCTCGTGCTTCTGCTCCACCAACTTGTGGAAGATGTGGCCCAGGCCCTCCAGAGCAGCATCGTCATGGTGGAAATGGAAGCCCAAGGAGAGGTAGGTGCAGGAGGCCCGCAGATGCTGGGTGACCAGGCTGTTGACGGGAATGATTGGGAAATGATTCTGACGAATTTGGGAGCTCATGGTTGTTCAGCAATAAGGAGTTAAGGTAGAAAAAACAAAACAAAACGGTGTTGCCTGGTCTCAGAGGCTGAGGATGGCTGTGGTGGTTCCCAAGGGTGGTCGAAGGCTGGGTTGGCGTCCCTCGGTCTGTTCCATTCAAATACTGTTGAAGCAAGAGAGAGATCTGAGGGGCCACGAAGGGCACTCTGGAATAAACATATTTTTATGCATTTGGGTAAGATTTCCCAATTGAAAAACAGACCTGGAGAACGAGTCAAAATACAAAATGCTGGTAACAAGGAAACTACCTAAAACAAAATTCCACCAGATGATTAAAAGTAAAACGAAGGTAAAAGCTACCTCAGAAAATGTGAACAGAAGGAAAGCAGGGGTTAGGTTTTACTCTCCTACAAAAAAAAAAAAAAAAAAAAAAAAAAAAAAAAAAATTCAGGCTTAAAGTACTCAGGATAAGGATCACTGTGTGAATGTCTTTGCTTCAGATGCATCACCACAAACTTGTTTCTTACTCTTATTTCTTCCCTAAGCCTTTCCAGTTCATTGACTCCTTTTAGCATTTCTTCAGAGTTCAAATGCCCCTAACGGGAGTGTCCTCTTTAAATCCCCAGACAGGCCAATGCATCACCATAAACTTGTTTCTTACTCTTATTTCTTCCCTAAGTCTTTCCAATTCATTGACTCCTCTTAGCATTTCTCCAGAGTTCAAATGCCTAACGGGAGTGTCCTCTTTAAATCCCCAGACAGGCCGAGTCAGCCGATCTAAGGCTTCCTTCTGCTTCTGGCTGACCCCTTCTTCAGAAGGTTGAGGATTTCCTTCTGCCTCCTGTGGCACCTCTTCTGAAGGGCGGTCATTGGCATGTTCTGAATCTAAGGCTTCCTTCTGCTTCTGGCTGACCCCTTCAGAAGGTTGAGGATTTCCTTCTGCCTCCTCTGGCACCTCTTCTGAAGGGCGGTCATTGGCATGTTCTGTGCTTTTCCTTCATTTTCTTCACAAGACTTTTGCATGTTGAGTATTTTCCTATTATTTCCTTTTTGAACAAATTAATCCTGAAAGGATCCGGGGAAGTTCTCTCCTTCTCCAGCAATAGGGAACTGTTTCAGGAAACAGGCCCTGGACTATATGTCATCACCTTCAACTTCTAATTACTTCATTTAACACATAAGACTGCAGATCTTAGAACAAATACTTGCTGAGAACTAAGCCACTCTACACAGTCTGCCAACTCTGGCATTGATGGAGGAAGAGCCTCAGCTGTTAGAAATCCTAAAATTCAACAGGGCAGGATCATTTTTAAGTTATCTGAAGCTGTATTTTTTCTCAGTCATCTAAATTTTTGGACCACTTTGAATCCAGAATTTCTTATTAGTGTACCTTCTTTTATAAAATAATATCTTCAGAATAAAACAAAAGAGAGTAGCTATCAGCAGTTAAGGGATTTTGAATTTGTGAATGTAGCCATGTGGATGGAAACCTACAAGCTGGAGGGCCTCCCTCTCCCTTATTGACTCTGGCACTTTTCACAGAGTTCATTACGTGATGGGCAGTAAGCTTCATGAGAATCTGTCTCTAGCAAGTATTTACTCACAAAACAGCATGCAGCGGAGCCCAGCCTGGCAGACACTTTGAAGTCTAATTGTCTAGGTCATGGGAACCATCTCAAGTTAAGTGTCCGATGAAATTAACAGGACCTGAATTTAGAGAAAGGGAGTCCTATAGGGATACATACAAGGCAAGAAGGTCACCCAATTTTATGATGCTAGAAAATAAAAAAGAGTCAACTGATATTTGTTGTCACAGGAGGAACAAATTGCTCCTCAGAAGCAATTATGTACAGTAGCATCTCCAAACATTAGAACAATTTCAATTTCTTCCATTTTTTGTCCTCATTACTTAACATTAACCTTTGATGAGTTTAATTGCAAATGAAATAAGCACCAGTTGGCTTGCCGGTGTTTCAGCAGCAATGTAAGCGTCTGTTACGCTTGCTTGTAATGAATGTGGGTTTTCTAAAGGTCACTGTGTAGAAGCTGATCATTATAAACATGTAGCCACATCTGTAAATTGTTAGATGAAATGCAACTACTAGTAAGAGCAGAAAGAAGATTAATTTACGGCTTAAAAGGCAGTTTAAAAAATTATTAATACTAAATTAAAAATAAAGGTGTAAGACCTGGAAGTTCAAGGCAGTGAGCTTATCTAATTATTTGTTTAAAAGAATTTAAAAACACAATATGCATTCATTCAATAAAGATTCATTGCTTTCTATGTCTTAGGTGCAATTCTAGATTCTTGGGCTATAGCAGTAAACTAAAATGCAGATATTCCTGTTCTTCTCATGCTTACATACTATAGAGCAGAGAGAGAATTAAAAAAAAGTAAAAACTTGCAGAATGTTAGCTGATAACTGTTAGTATCATGGGGAAAAGAATTATAGAGAAGAAGAAAGGAAGAGCCCAGAGTGTGGTCATAATTAGAGATGATGGAGGCTGTCAAGGAAGGCCTCATTGAGGAGATAGTTAAGCAAAGGTCTGAAGGAGGTGAGCAAGAGAGCCATGCTGATAAATGGGAAAGAGCATTGCAAGCAGAGACACCAGCCAGTGCAAAGGCCCTGAGGTGAGAGTGCACCTTGGTGTGTTTGAGCATGCAAGGAGGCCAGGATGGCTGGAGCTGAGACAGTGGTAGTGGGGGAGGGGGTTTGAGGAGTTTAGGAAATGTGTGAGAAGAAGTCAGATAATGGGGGGCCATATCATGTGTGTCTTGTAGGTCATCAAAAGTACTTTGTCCTTTCATCAGAGTGAGATCATAAGCCTTCAAAGGAATGGCATAAACTAATTTTAAAAGGATCTATCTGGTTATTGCTTTGAAAGTAAACCAAAGAGGAGAAAGAGTGGAAACAAGGATACCAACAATAGAGAGGATGATGCCTTGGACAAGAGTGATAGCAGTGGAGATGCTGAAAATGGTTGGCGTTTGTATAACTTTAAAAGATAGAGCTAATGGGATTTTCTGATGGCTTAGATATAGGGTATGAGAGAAAGAGAAGTTAAGAATGACTCCAGGATTTCAGGTCTGCATACTAAAAGGGTGGAGTTGTCATTTCCTGAGATGGGGAAGGCCACAGGCAAGGCGGGTTTGGAAGGAATGATCAGGGATTCAGTTTTAGACAGATCAAATTTGAGATGCCTATTAGACATCCAAATGGCATTGTCAAGCAGGCAGTGTATCATAAAGACTGGAATGTGGGAAAGTTGTCTGAATTGGAGATTTCTATTTGGGTAGCATAGGCATTATGCAGTCAAAGGGATGAGATCACCAAGGGAAGTGAATGGAGATAGAGATAAAAAGAAGGCCAGTGCTCTGCAGAACTTCTATTTTTGAAAGTAGAAAACTTTTGAGGATGATACTAGTTGTACTTTTAGTCAATTGAAGAATTGCAAAGGTTTGTATGACTTTGAGGATCTTTGCAATGGCTCCATTATCTCTCCCACCCAGAGCCAGCCCCCTCGTTGGGAAATGCTATGCAAATTTCTCAGTAGTTATAAAAAACAACCTTACTGTTTTTCTCATATTGGTGGCTATGGAAGTAAAAGATGTTACTGATCAATTAACTTGAGTTGTCGACCCAACTTCTCTGGTCTGAAGATTCCTAGGGCTAGACTGACCATCTTCTGGTTCCCAGCAAGAAGACAGCATGCAGACAATTCTGGAAAGGTAATTGTCTGTTCTTTCTCTTCAAATTCTTCTGTGACCTCCCTCGAAGCTCTCGTAGACTCCACAAAATGGTCTCAGGCCCTCTCCTTTGCTGGGTCTCTGAAGACGTGTGACTGAGGAAGGGCAACCTGCTTTGGTTACCTCCTCGGCAACTCAGCCCCTTGGCATGAGTCTGGCTGGTGCCCAAAGGGTCACTGCCTAAGTCTGTTGATCTTTGTAATTCATTTCACAGTCCATGAGCAGAGCAGTCTTGCAGACAAACCTCCTCTGGTTTCCACCCCTCGGAGGTTCCCTTCCCTCCAAGAGAGCTGCTCTGAAGGCTCCGCTCAGCAAACACAGAAAGGAAGACAAGGAACTCCAGGTATTAGGTCTTCCGGCTCAATTTCGATTTCCCGTCCCCTGAGGGAGGTCCAGTGCCTGCGAAATAGCCGGGAGGCCCAGAGCAGTCCCGAGGCAGTGGCTGGGACAGAGGTATCCAGGACTAATAGAGTCAGGGCTGAGGGAGGGCAGAGGCGAAGGAAAGAAGGCATGGGGGTGAGTTGAAGAGAGCCACACACTGTCACATGTTATGCAACCGTAACTAATATTTCCATGGTAACCCTTCAGTGGGTCAGCCCACCTGCTGAGCCAGGTCATATTCCTCACAATATGATTTCAGCACAACATACTTTTGGACACTATTCTTCAGCCCAAATTATGTTTTCCTTTTCTTTTTTCTCAATTACAGTTTATATTATATTCATTTCAGGTGTACAGCCTAGTGGTTAGGTATTAATATAACTTATGAAGTGATTCTCCTGATAAGTCTAATACCCACCTGACATCATACGTAGTTATTACAATATTATTGACTATATTCCCTATGCTGTACAGCCCTGTGACTATTTTGGAACTGCCAGTTTTTCTTTTGTAGTCTCTCTTTTTTGTTTTTTGTTTTTTTGAACACATCCTATGTTTTCCTTAGACTTATCTTTTGTTCTTTCTCTTATAATTCTATCTCTGTTGTCACTCTACCCCTAATCTGAAGACCATCTTAAATATCACCTCGCTAAATGAGGCCTTTGTTGGTTATCCTAACCAGAAATAATAATCTTGATTCTCTAATATCTCTTATGGCTCTTTTTACATTAAATTCACAGCACAGTTACTTATTCCCTTTTCTCCTGAATTTGATTGTAACCTCTTTAAAAGCAGAGGTTGTGTCTTACCCTTCTAACTTTCCTGGCATTCAGTAGGTGCTCAGTAAAATGCCTGTAGAATAAGTGAGTAAATGTACATCTTGCACAGTTTTTTTTTTCAGATTAGCCATTTCTTCTTAGAAAGGGAAGAGAAAAGGGAGAGAGGATGGGGGAGTGCTAGTAGTTATGCCTAAAACTGATTTTATTTAGGCCAAAAATTTTACCCAGGATCACAATAATAAAAAGACAAAACAACACAATATTAAAAATGGTTAAAATATTTGACAGACATTTCACATAAGAAAATATACAAATGGCTAATAATACAGGAAATGCTCAACATCAGTAATAATCAGGGAAACACAAAGTACAACCACAATGAGATACCACTTTATACCCATTAAATGGCTAGAATAAAAAAGATTGGTAGTGCAATGGGTTTGCCAACCTGCAACTCTCAGACCTCACTGGTGAGCACAGAAAATGCGACAACCATTCTGGGCAAGTTTTGCAGTATTTCCTATAAAGTTAAATATACATTTATCCTGTGACCTAACAATTTTACTCTTAGATTTTTACACTAGAAAAATAATAAACTGTGTAGGGAGGTGTCTATGGGATGGTGGGGCATGAGGGAACTTTCTGGGTGAAGAATATATTTTAAGCCTTGACTGGGATAGAGTGGCATAGTTTTGCTAAAACTCATCAAATTTCACATTTGAGAAATGTGCATGTTATTGTATATAAGTTGTACCTTAATAAAAAATGAGCAACCTAGAAAGTCATGTATTCAACACTCCTGTGCACTTTAGGAATGCCCAAAAGAACCCTGCCACACTTCTTCAGCCATCTAACAGTATGATCTTGTGACGATCATTGAGTCAGAAAGAAAAAAATAAAAAGGCTTATTTTTTCTGTACACCAAGGTGGCAGAGCCATGACCCTTAGATTTTCAAATGATTAGTTTGACCAGTGCAAAGAACAACGGTTAATTTTGAAGTTTATTTTTTATTGATACATGTAATGCAAACTCAAGGATATTATAAGGGATTTCCCCTTCTTAGGAGATACTTATAATAGTAAGGGGGACTGTAATAGTATAGTCATTTTTAACAGTAAGTTAATCTTATTAGTGTGGGTTATATAATTTAGACCTTAGAGAACCCTGGTTATTATAGAAGG